CTGCTAAATCCTAACTGACCAAATTGTATTTTAGTTTAATATAGTTTGAAACCTAGTAATATCCATCGAAGTTTACAACTTTACATACTTCCTTCAGCAGTTAGAACAATGCTCTCTCTCTCGGTGATGTTTTAAATAAAGTGATATATTCGGTGGTCCAAGTTTGACGGGGTTAGAGGGAGGACTAACGACTGACAATTTTATCTTAACCAATATCCAAACTCGCCCGGTCTAGCATTTTGGTAGTCGGAATATGTATCATTGATATGTTTCTTATAAAGGTGACTGAATACTCCTTTGCGACCGATTTTAGAATTTGTGTGTTCATCGAGGGGGAATCGGTTCGGGTTCTAGCCCAAATATGAAACAAAAAACTCTATAATATATTTTGGTGTCAGCGGGGTATTTCACCAGAACTTCGTGTATTGTAGAGTGTATCTGTATTTATATTAAATATTCGCAAGAGATAGCACATCCGAACCGCCTTAGTGTAGGAATGGTCTTCCACGGACCTATCATATGTTCGTGCATTTATATTCCAACTGATTTATCGAAACAATACAATGAACGCATAGAAAATATTCGTGCAGATGCACAAGCAGGGATTGTATTTGTCTTTCCTCGGATGTGATTTGGTATTTCAAGTATATCTTTCCGAAATATTCAGTTCAGACGTAACTCTATGGATCTGTTTATAACAAAAAAACAAGACATATCGTCTTAAATACACGGTAGAAAGTAGAAAGGTGTATAACGACATTTTCCGATTTAAAGCACTTCATTGTTCATCAAAACCTTCGAGCAGTCTTATGTTAGTTAACATTGTAATTTTACATTTAGAACAAAAGTAGTCAAATATGCCTGGTGAAGCAACTTCGGCTGCTTCGGTAGAGTCCATAGAGGGGTGCAAGACTGGGTCAAAAATGTATATTAATCGATGAATGTTTCCAATATGTCAACAATTCTAATACTCAGCTTCTAGAACTAGGCTCTTCGGCTCTCAAAATTACTTATCCCGCATTTCTACGTGAGCCGTCAATATTGCGAGCGGTTTAATGAAAAGGCCAAAACTCTATGATTCAGCACAGATTTCTTTACAATCGTTTAATTGTCTATTTTCTTTTTCTCTGACGCTATCTCAAAGCAGAACTACCGAAAAACTCCGAAATCATGAGGATGAAATATGTTTGCCCTGCGAGTCAGATACCTCCAAAGTGCAGTTTGGCATCATAAGAGGTTTTGAAGGGTTATGATACAGATGTACTACGAGATACAAGATGATAGCTCACCCCAAAAAAGAAAACAGTGAAGTGTCGCTAAATAAAAACATGTTATGCTTTTATACTTCTAAAGGACACTCAGGCGATGAAATAGCCATATAGGGATAATATTATTAATTTCAATTTGGATAAATTTTTATGTCTACATGCAAATCAGAGCTTCAAATTGTAAGATTTTCGATGTCAGGTCTACAGATTGGGAGGATCGCCCTCTGAAAAAAAGACACACACCCCTCCAACAACGATACCATGATGCTAGATCTAGGGCTCTAGAGTAGGCGATTCGGGTGCGACTGTATTTAAACTAAATAAACTACGAACCTCTTTGAAATGGTCGCAAGTTTATTTTGTTTTCCTCTGCTATCACCATGTATTCGCTACCCGTCGCGTACTTTACTTTCCTAACAATGTTCGTATCATTACAGACGCTGTTTACAATCACGAATGTATATGATTTCCGAGTTCAAAAGACTCCGAACAAACAGCACAATATCGAGATTAATAATATTTTAGGTGTGATCCCTGCTGTATATACTCAAAAATCAAATCACTGGTATCAAACCCAAATTTATTCTTGCCATTCGGAACCCGTTGAAACAATTTAAAAACATTATGACCGTCTATCGACTGACCCCACTTACGCCAAGTGCAATTGTTCTACTTTCATACACAATTAATTCCATTTTCTGGGGGAAAACTTCACCATGTACCACTTCAATATGTGACTGTAGCCCAAATGGCACGTTGCAGTTAGAATTAAACTCAAGCCTAACGAAAGGAGTGTGTAAATACTTGCACATTTTGTGATAATCGAAACTTGAAAATTTCAGAATCAAGGAAAAATCCACATAAACTCGGTCGCCAGCAAGTCACAGTATAAAAAAAAACCACAAGACGACCATGTGGGTCGTTTGAGTTCTGAAAATTCGTTCTGCTATAAATACAAAAGAAGTAGGCTAATTTTTGAAAATCAACGCTTGTGTTGATGGGCCAGTGCGGTAGCAAAAAAATGTTCCCTCATGTTCTTAACATTGGCATGTCATATTTATTTGGGTTAAACTTTGTGTATTTAAGATCATTCAGATGTATTCGTATCATTTAGATGTATACAAAAAAGTATGTGTGGCAGTCTATCAATATCTGAAGCACAGTATCGGTGGGTTTAATGGTGTTCTTTATAATGTTCTTAATAGTGTACTTAATCTAGTTTGATGAGTCTATCTATGCGGCACTGCTACAGCCGTGTTCAACCGTCAGACCATGCTATATTTGAAATCCAGTCTTTCTATTTCGACTCTATTTTGGCGAAGGGGAGCAAAAACGGCTCATTTGGTTTCTAGTCTTGCTAATAAAACATCCTTGAAACAAGAATAGTAGTCGTGTCACACTCAAAATGATTTAGTATCATTTAGTATAGTAGTAGAAAGTCGTTCTGCTATAATACCATGGAATACGACAATTGAAACTATATACTTTTGACTTGGTAAAATCTTAATAATTGCCTGCAGAATACATTAAAAGTTGCCTGCAGAATTGATGTGCAAAAAGTCTCCTCGGATACTATTAAATAAGCTTTGTACCTGAATTTTTGTAGACACGGCAGCAACGAAGCTTCTTATTCTTGGCATAAGATACTGAATGAACTCACAACTGAATTCATACTCAACACTATATATCAGAGCGCGATCGAATTTTCACTCGAAATTTATATATTACAGTCACTCGGGTAGATATCAGTACTCTTTTAGTACGGAAGTATTTTAATATGCTTCATATCAATTTTATCTGACCTATACCATGCTACTGAATAATGCTGGTATGTCGAGCGTTGCGTACCTTGTTGACATGTCCATTGAAATCTTTGAGATTACGTTCGTGAACAAATCGTTTAGCCTACTATATTTAGGTTTGAATGTTTAGTCCCGAAGTAAGAAGGTGCAGATATGAACAATTGATATATTATCCTTCGAAATGGGTACAGGTAGCGATGTCCTAACATTATCATGCGATATCTCGTGCTGGTGAGTTAATTATTGTCCTAAATAAACACCCAGTACGATAGTAGACTACTCTCGGACAATCCCAAAGTAATTCTCAGTGCACTGCCATACTCAAACAGTATGACGTGTCACTGCTGCATTTTTGTACTCAGATATATGATCTTCGGATCTACAATTCAAATTCAATGGGAGATATCTTATAACAGACAATGTTTTGTAATCGCTGAGCATGTTTATTTTGTTAAAAAAGCAATGAACAAAAACTGGCACACTCAGCGATAATCTTTCGGACAGTGAATGGGTCAATTAGGATTAAGATTTGAGCGCTCCATGTTCTGCTTAGTTGCGGGCGAGTGGGATACGAACAGGCACAAGATTAGCAAATGGAAACCCTATCGGTCCTACGTCTGGGTACTTGTCTATTCAGTTTCGTATTATATACCATGGTCTCTCTTTGCTTACAAGGAAGAACTACGCTGAGTACCAAGTCAGTCCCTAGTTCGAACCTATCTGCGGAGCTACCACTGTGTATCGCTTTCTAAAACACTAACTGTTCTATGACTATCATTTGATATACTTTTATTATCGCCGAAGTGAAATTCTATGTTTCGGTGCGGATTTAAGCTTTAGCCTATACTGGTAATTAAAATGAAGTGTTCCGATGAACATGCGCCAGCGTTGATGACCATTATTTGGGTAGCACACCTCTTTTAATCTGCTGCAGGCAACGCACCAGACTCTTTTCCGACGTATCAAACATACTGGCGTGCCTGGACATCCGTACTTAGTATGCGGTGTCGTACAGAACACTACATAGTCGTACAGAACACTACAGTGCCAGTGTCATACATCTCATCAAGGTGTCGCATACGTCATCAAGGTTCTCTTCTAGATACCGAGACTGAGATGGCAACCTAGACAATACACAATACTATTGCTCACAACTGTCGACATGGCATCTCTATATTTGTGCTCCGTAGACATTCATCTCCGCCTGAAAGACTTTGGGGCTACTCTCCAACCCCAGTGTGTCGTACTGGCCACTAGCAGTGGCTGTGCGTGCATTCTCGGCCTTATGTTTATCTGACAAGGACGCACTTGCTCCTATGGAACTCATTCTGAATATTCTCATTACCTCCCAGTTACCGTACTGTACCGGGGAGATTATTTGGTCTGTATTACCATATGGTGGCCAGACCCTAGAGTTGTATCGTGCACGCTTTGTAGAGGTTTCCGGCCGTCGACTACTACTGACACCGCGCCAAAACGAACCTCCGCAGCCCTGACACTTGCTTGTGGTGTCGCTGTTACTGTTACTGTCCTGGGCGGTGTATGGTGAATGGATGATGAACTCTCATCTCCGGACACTCAGTGTATAACGGCACTCTTAACGGTATCACTCTGAGAGACCACACGCACTCATCGTCTCATCACCACACTCTGCCCACACACTCTTACTACACACTCGTATAGTGTCATCACCACACTTCCACAATGCCCCATGCACCCGCAACCGTGCAGCCGGCACAGATTGGTTGGCTTCTTGGTCAACCATTACACGCACGCGACGAAGGATAGCAGGATGGCCAACTCGAGTGTGGTACTGGACGTAGCGGGTGTACATAGTGTACCCCTCAGAGCATGGGCGTTGCGGTACAGCTGGCGACTAACTGTAAAGTGGCAGTTTTTATCACTTGAACTTCAAAACGTTCATACTTTCAAAAGGAATGGCTTAACGCTCATACTTTCACAAGGAAGGGGACGCGCAGGAAACTGGGAACCACCAGATCTTCCAATTTGATATCTGAAAGTGTTTTAGGGAGTTGGGTAAGTATTTGTGAGAGAATATATAACCACATCAGTAGTGCTATAGATGGGTGTGCTATATAACGTGTTCAGTTCAATGTATCTATACAGAAATTCGTATGTTGTGACAAAAGTGAGTGCCGATACTAATCAAAACCAAGAAATCGTATGGACACACTACAAATATCTCTCAAATAGCCAAAACAGATTAAAAAAATCTGATAACTATGAACCACGTACTACGAATAGCTCTTGCTTGTAACACACACGAGTAGCTATATATATATACACTCACACCAACACCAACACCAACGCCAACACCAACACCAAAGACACACACTCTGCACACCTTTTGCAGTATACGACACCGTCAGTCCGGGAGGTTTGGGCTGTAACATCAACGGCGGAGGTTCTTCCACTCTCCGCTGCTCGTGCAGCCATCGCTGTTCTAGTCCCGCCTGTAGTATGCTCGCGGGTATGGGGTTTCCCTCTGGATCACGGTACATATGCAGCAGCCGCTGCAACCGACTCACGTTGAGTGCACGTGCTTGGTCGCAGATGAGCTGTATGTCCTCCACAGTGCTCTTGGGCATGGTGAGTAGCCTCGCTGCCTGAGTGAGCGTCAACAGCTGAGCTTTGCCTTGTCCGGGCTGGTCTCGCCACCTACACCAAAGGGCGTTGCGTGTGTATGACTTCAGTTGCACGGTGTGAGAGACACAACTCGTTGGGCAAACGTGCTATGCTGATGGATTGTATGTAGGTAGGGGTATTAGGTCGGGTGCAGTCAAACACGAACTAGGTACACAAACTAATTTAGATAGGCAAATACTATTTTAGGTAGACAAACACTAATTTAGGTAAACAAACACACTAATTTAGAAAGGAAAACACCAGTTAAACACTAATTTAGAAAAGAAAACACCAATTTAGGAAGACAAACACAAATTTTAGTAGGTAAACACTAATTTAGAAAGGAAAACACTAATTCTAGTTGGCAAACAATAATTTAGATAGGTGGTTTAGTTTGGGTGCAATTAAATTCATAAGAATCATAACATTGCGGTGACAGGGCAATGCACGCCGCAACAACAGCTGTGTATTGTGATACGCACTAACTGATACTATACTCGTTGGCCAATGCTCACAACTCAATATACTCATGAAGATAAATGCGTGAGTGGCATCCACATATGGATTAGAAACATGAACACGCATAAACCACAGAGACACAGATACAGACACACGCACTCTCACACACAGATTCATATATGTTTTAGGGTTTAGGGGTTAGAGTTTTAGATATATGAGAATATTTACACATGGGTAACCAAAGGAATATCCACAGTCGGAACGTGTATGGAAAACAACAGCCCTTCCCCGGCCCTTCCATACAAACCTCAGCAATTCTTCCTAGAACATACCTCTATGAGGATAGAAAAGCCAATATACAAGACACACGACCGCTCACACCCAACACCTACCAGGAGCTCAACGCCTGAAGATTAAAACTGATCTGCAGCCCTCGCAGGTCCGTGCATATGCTCGGTTTCTGCAGCATCTCATTGGTGCACACAACTGCGATGTAGTCCATGAGGATCCCCAGAATCTGAGCCACCATGTCTGGGGCCAAGTAGTAGCCATTCATGGTATCTGCCAGCCACTGCAGGTACTATATAGCAAGCAGACGGTGGTACTGTAAGCAAAGTATATACATACATAC